TAATATTAAGAAATTTTCAAACATAATTTAAGTGTTGGATTTGAGCTCATTTGGAGTTGGATCAGATCATTTATAGTATTAATAGGTTCATCTCATTGAAACCTTCAGTTTGACTGTAATGTATTCAAATTAGAGTTTAAATGAACTTAAATTTAATTTTGGAAGATCCAATTCAAATATTCCATTGAGATTGGTGTAAATAATATGAGTTTTTTGGAGTCGTATCAATACTTAATCGAGCTCCACATCAAATATTAATTGAATTTCTTAACAAGCTGGTTCATGAGCTCTATATTGAGTAAGAATAGAACTTCTTCATGAGCATTAAATTATGTTGTTCATGAATATAAATTATTGTACATTCTCATTGATTTCAAAAGGAGTTCTTAAGGAATTGGACAAGTTGAGTAGGGAGTTTATCTGGAATAAACAGGATGGGAACTTGGGTATGCATTATGTTAGCTGGAATAATCTATGCAAACCGATTAAAGATGGTGGAAGAGGTCTTCGATCATGTTCTAGTATTGTGGGTTCTTTAAGGGCAAAATTGACTTGGAAGGTAATTCAAGACAAAGATTCTTTGTTGTACAAGTTTTTGAAACCGAAATATGGGGCGGATTGGGGTGAGATTGGTTATAGAAGCAGAGCTTCTTTTACTTGTAAAATCTTATCTAACGGTAAAAAGGCGTTGAATGCTGTGGTAAAGTGGAAAGTGGTAAATGGTGGTTCAATTGATATCTATGATGATATATGGATATTAGACAAAAGCTTGAATAAGTGGCCAACATTTGTTGCTATACGAGAACTTGGGAAAAGAACGGTTGATAGTCTAATTGATAATGGTGAGTGGAATATTTTGAAATTAAGATTACTATTGGAGAGGAGCTCATAAAAATATGGGGTGGAGATTCAAGGAAACTAGGAAGACGATTATATGCAACTTTTGTATCAAATTTTTGGCTATTCGATTTCAGCTCTTGTTCACAAAGCTTCGGTACTTTAGAATGAGGAATGCTTTTATTATAAATGTTTGAGGAATGTTAAATTAAGATCTCGGGTGGAGGTTTTCGGTAGAGAATGTTTAATAATGTCATTCCTACATTCCATTTTCTATATCAAAGAAGAATTCAAGGCAATGTTGGCTGTCCCAGGGCTACATTTAAGTGAGGATTTTAACCATATAACAATTAATTGCATAAAGATGAAAGAAGTAATTGAATATTTGAAAAAAATGGGGATTTGGAATTCAAATGTTTGAATCTTTTGAAGATTGTTGGAGATGGATGGAAAAATTTAATCATGTTCAAGTGTTTATCTTTAATATCTATTGCAATGCAGTTTATTTAATGTGGAGATCCAAGAACAAACTTGTTCACGGAGGGAAGGAGGATAGCTCAATGGTAATAGCGTCTAATGCTGTAAGTTATGCTTCCATTTCATACATGGATGATGGAAAATTGGGACACGGGTACTAATCAGTCTTCTAGATTGTTGGATTGTTGGTACCCCCTCCCAATTTGATCAAAATCAATGTAGATGCTTCATTGTTACAATGGTACAAAGTGGAATTGGAGTTGTTGTTCGGGATAGCAAATGAAGATTTCTCATGGGGTATGGTCTCTCTTGTATTCATTGGGATAAATCTATTCTAGAACTCATGGCGGTGCAATTTATAGATGAAATCAAGAAAGATTGGATGGCAAATTACAAAGGTATTGTCATAGGAGACAATTACAATGTTATTAAATTTTTGCAAAAATTGGGAGGCAAGTGGAGGGATGAGCTTTTATCTTTTAAGGATCAGAATTTTATTTTATTTAATTGGATCAATAGAAGTTGTAATAAATTAGCGAATTTATGTGATAGCAATGCTCTTTTTAGCAATTTTCTTTTGGAAGATTTGTATTATAATAACATTCCTCTATTTTCTAAATTGTTAAAGGAGGAATCTAGTTTTGGAGTTTTTTAGTTTGTAATTAGGATTTGCTTTGAATAATAGTCTATTGGTTTGCCTTTTTTCAAATATATATATATATATGAGTTGAACAAATAGTTGTTCATTCTTATTTGTTAAATCATTGACAAAAAAATGTTCATGCTTAATTGATTACATAATCAACGATCATGAACAAGCTATAATCAAGCCGAGCCACGAGTAGATTGTCGAACGCTCAGTTTGTTTGTAGCCCAAATAACGAATTAATGTGTTGTCGAGAGTATTCTACTATTCATTCTTGAATGATCTCTCGCTTGTAAGGATGTGACACGTATCTTCTAGTTGGTGGTTTTGCCGCCAAACGACACTACATGTAAATAGTTATGATCGGGGCCTTTTGACTGGGTGACTTCGCCGCAAAATGATACAATTGCATTACGATCATGATCAGAACCCATAAGATCCCTAATGTCTAAAAACCTTTGTAATGAATCGCACATAAAATGAAATTACGTTCTCTATTTGTTAAGTTTGACTTGAATTTATCTCCTTAGATAAAAACTTACTCCAAGCCTATAAGAATATCTTGGACAAAGCAGCTTATTAATGCCGGTGAGGATCCTTCGGTTAGGTTAGGTGGACTGCCTTCTTTAACTAGCATATCAAGATCTATGATATCCCAAGCTGATGGAACCAGAGTAGCTTGATTCTATATCAAATATTCTACAATTATACACCAAGTATTTAGCTTCTAATCATTAGCTTTAATTGAAAGTTTTATTTTTTCTATTTGCCAGCGCACGCGGTGTGTGTTGTTTTGGGGGGGGGGGGGGGGGGGGGGGGTAATTAATTATAGGGGTTTGTGCTTATGTGAAACCTGGAACGAGATTATGAAGTTCTCGTAAAATAAGGGTGAAATATCTCAGTAGTATCTTAAGTGTAATTTATTTTCTGAAAAATTGACCTGAATAAAATATCTAATCAATTTTTTTCACTTCTTGTCAGTGTCAAAGTACCCTTAAAAAAATCCTTGTTGAGAAGAAACTGTACTGAGATGCAGATTCATGTTACTTATAAGATGGGATTTGGTTTCCTTGCTTCCGATGGTAGCAGTGGCTAATTTTTTACATGGTTGCTGCTGTTTTAATAATAGTGAAAGCACTCTGGTGGAGGCATCTTTTAAATTTATCACTACTGAACCACATGCACTTTCTACTAATTGAGTTTCTGTTATTAATAATGGCGGCATCTCAATTTCTTACAAGTTTTATTATTGGCGAATATCTAAATAATGTTTCCATTCCTGAATAATAAAATGATTTTCCATTATTTTTTGTCAAGAGTTGAAGATGCTTCACCCAACCAAAACAACATATATGCCCATAATTGAGCTATAGATTTTCTATTTTCTTAACCTAATTTCTAATATATTCATTTACATCCTTATCTTGCTCTTATTTGCTCATCACATGATTTGAGTCAATTTAAATATGTACTTTTTTGTTGTAAGCCTATTAGATGGTTGTATTTTGTCAACAAGACATGATTGGGGGCCCTACATTGGTTGTCTATATGATTTCTTGCATGTTTATTACATTTTCTTTGAGCATAGTATGACATCTACATATAATTTTTGTTCCTCAATCTATGATGCACCGACACTCCGCTTAAAGAGGGTATGCAGTGTCAGACACGGACACGCTTCCGACATTGCATGGACATGTGTCTGACACGGCATTGGAGTGTCGCAATTTAAAAAAATTAAAATTAAAACCGGGCACGCTTGTCCGGTTATTAAATAATAAAATCGTCCGATTCGTTAGGTACATGCTCGGTACCGCTAGGTATCGCTAGGTATATGCTCGGTACCGAGCAGGTACATGCTCGGTACCACTCAGTACATGCTCGGTACCGCTAGGTTTATGCGTGGCACCGCTCAGCACATGCTCGGTACCGCTAAGTACATGCTCGGTACTGATCGATATATTTCCATACAAACAACTTACGAACTTTAAAAACAAGTAGGACTTCAAAATTACTGGAACCCCGTTAGGGGGCAGCGCCCCCTTAGACCCTCGGCAGACCGGTATATTGTTGTATTCATGTTGTCTTATTATTGGGATATTTTGATTTAACTTCATATCAATTTAACTTGATGTATTTCTATGTATGATTGGTTTGTTACAATCTTTTCTAGATAAAAAACAATGAATAATCAATATATAAATGAAATTATAATTTCTATGTTGAAGGATAGTAGTTCTAATAGAGAATATCCACTATGTTTTAGGAGGAATATACGCCAAGCTCTAATTTGTTAGTGTCATTTAGGCTTCGTTTGGGACGGCTTTTTTATTGCTTTCTAAAACGGAGTTTTAGTACAAATTTTTTATTTTTGTATTAAAACTCCGTTTTAAAAAACAGTAAAAAAGTCGTCCCAAACGAAGCCTTAATCTATTCCACCAATGAGTTAGTGTCATTTAATTTATGACATAATGTTTTAAATACACATGTGTGCCAAAGACCAACCTCTGAATCTAATTCTATCATTCCCTCTATTGAGTAGTTGGACCTTCATGTTGTACTAAATGATTTTTTGCTTATAATTTTATGGTTGTACGAGACATTTTGTACTAAATATCTTTATGTTATAAACTAAATAAGTTATCATGAAATTGATTTATTATTGCTTGTGATTTTTAATATAATGTCACCTTAATTTCTATATATTATACTAAAAAATTATTATGCCGTGTCCACGCCGCACTGTTATCTTATATTAAAAAATGTCGTGTCCGTGTCGTGTCATGTTGTGTCTCCGTGTTTGTGTCGGTGCATCATAGTAGCCATTTGGCAATAGTTGGGATAAGGTGTCAGTAGACGTGGTTGTCGATTGTTGAAGAAGATCAAGAGCCAAGGGCCTTAAGTTGTTTACATTTTTTTAGCACATCAATTCTAAGATGCCTTTGTGCTTTATTTTATAAGTTTTTGTTGATTTCTCTTGTGGTTAACTTATATGATTGACATGCATGTTGTTCTCAATTATTGTCTTTACTTGTTTCAGTCTGATACTGCATGTGTGAAAGTACCGGAGCTAGAGTTGGAGCTTGCAAGTGGCACATTAGGTGGACTTGTTACCACTGTTGAAGGTTTAGTTACTAAAACTATTGAAAGTAAGAGTACCATCTGAACTCTGGATTTGTGTTTTGGTTCAAATATTGGGTTTATCTGGGTTTATCTACTTTGATAAATAATATGTTTGCATGGTTTAAATTAACAGTGATACTAAAACTAATGTTGGTATTCATTAGATTTTGTCATCACTTGGGGCTTATTTTTTATGGTAGCTTATATGGAATGCACGCAACACATATTCAAACTTGTTTAACCCAATCGTTTTATCAGACAAATGCCTCTCTCTATCTTTCTCTTTCCCTCTCTTCGTCTCTTCATCCCTCTCTAACTCAGTAAAGGACAATATAGGCACACATTATTTAAAATTATGTAATATGAGGCTCGCCTTGAGGCTCTCTCTTTCCCTTTCTTCGTCTCTTCATTAGGTATGAGGTGTTGAGGGTAATGAGTTCATTTATCAAACAAAAAGGCATAATGTCATGTACCTTATTTTGAAGGTTTTCTTCTACTCTTTCTTAGTTACAATCCTCACCCTCACTTAGAATTCCCTGACTGCAAATCCATTTCCGAGTAGAATTCATCTCATTAAATTTGATCAAAGCAATCAGCAGTTCGAGATGAGTAGGATTAGGGGTGGCTGGCTAATTTGATTTTGTATGACTTTTTTTTTTTAAATTTTGTAGGACTTATCTTCATTGTTCTGATCTATTGTATATCATTCATCATTTTATAATTGATAATTCTACATTTTTCGGTTGAATTCATGACCGATTATTTCAGAGCATGCTGTTTTATTCATTTTGCAGATCTGTGATAAAATGAGATTTTTCTTGTAGATCTTGAGAGAGTGCATGGATTTATGTTTGGGGATAGCCTTGATGAAACGAAAAAGAAAAAATGGCAGGAGTTCAATCATAAACTAAAGAAGGTATAAAAGCTTTGAGCTTATTAATTTGTTACATCTTATGCTGATTAGCAGAGTTACAAAGTTAAATCATTTGAGGTAGCTGATTAGCAATGTTACATATTGGCTATGGTGTGGTTTTGTTTAAAACGAGCTCAGCAATTTTTTTTTTTTTTTTTGACTCATTGAGGATATTTTATTTTCCCTTTATTTTATCACGGTAGATTAGGAGTCGCATCAACTGATCTTGTTGTCAGATTCAAAAAAGTAGGAAGCCCAATCACATAATTATTTGTTATCTATTTGGAGCAGTTTTAGCTTTTTGTAAAAGGTGGGGAAAACGTAATTATTTGATAGTTGTTAGTATTATTGACTCTTCTCCTATGAAAAAAAGTGGCACAACAATTTTATTACAATTATCATGCTTTAGTAAATTTTCTTATAAAAGGTTGTTTACAATTAAAATTTTTAAAAGACAGTAAAAAGTTATTTTAAGTAATTAGAATTGTTCTAGCTGTCTGGAAAATAAAGTTGTGAATATTAACCCAAACAGACTTAAAAGTTGTCCAAATTTCTACTTTGCCAATTAATTTAATCCCTCCTTTTGACCCAAACCTGGTACTGTGCTGAAACCAATTCTTAGCATTTTTCATTTAATCTGAAGCTGATCATCTTTCTCATTATTCAGCTTTTAGATTTGGAGGAGCCATGGACTCTTATACTGGATGATGCACTGGCTAGTTCCTTCGTTGCACCAGTGACAGATGCTATAGAGGAGGACAAACAACTTCATGGTTTGTTCATTAAGGCTGTTTTATTATCTATGCTGCTATGATATGCTCTCTATTATCTCTCAAGCCCTTTTACCAACTAATAATAACTAGTTTTTTCAAATTCGAATTTTGCATGAGAATTAGAAGAAATTGTTATGATCAGACTACGCATGTAGCTCTACATGCTGATCAAGGAAATACATAGTTATGTATTCACTCTATACTGAGTATATATATATATATATATACTTAAAAAATAAAATATACAACGACTTAGGCTTTGTTTGGGACGGGTTTTTTATTGCTTCTTAAATCAGCTTTTAAGTATAAAATTTTAAATTTTTGTATTAGGAAGCTGCTTTAAGAAGCAGTAAGAAAGCCGTCCCAAACGAAACCTTAGTAGTTGTGTACTCCAACAGGCCGGATGTAGAGCTATATGATGCTTAGTTGTCTGTAATAATTTCTTAACAAAAAGAGATGTGATGCTGGAAATTTTCATCCTACTATGATTATGCTTATGAATTGTGCTGCAGTTGAAGAGTATGAGAGGACCTGGGAACAAAATGAGGAGCTGGGCCTGAATGATATGGACACATCTTCTGCTGACAATGCTTATAACTCAACTTCCACTGGTGCCATCTTTCAGGAAGTAGCTTTATAATGCTTATATTCTCAAATAACTTATATTCACATATGCTTTGATCTCATGTAAGCATGCCAAATTAGAATATCAAAGATGGCTCGAAAGTCTTGCTTCAGACACTCGTATTGATATGTTTAAGTTGCAAAGGATGTATAATTATGTAGTGAAGCCCTTAGCTGGAATATAAGTAGCCATCTTGCGGTCATTTAAACGCGACCTTACTGAATATTTAAAAGAGATTTTGTTTTTTCTTCTCTTTACAAAGAGGCTTATTGTAAATTTTTTTTTTTTTTTAATGATGTGCGCTGAAGGGTGTAAATATTAATAGAGGTAGCGGAAGAAAATGCATTTGAATTTAAGGATTTGTTTGAGATGCCTTTCTTACTGTTTTTTAAAATAATTTTTAAGCATAAAAAATTAATTTTTTACTAAAAATTTATTTTAAGAAATAGGAAGAAAGTTGTTTCAAACGAAGTCTAAATCAGCTAGCGGTAGAAAGAATCTCAAATATTAATGCCCAATTGAAATAAGAATTATTATGAATGTTTTTTATTCTCCCTAATATTATATTTTAAAAAAACATGCAAAACATAATTTTCTTTAAAATTTGATGCAAATTCTCTTTGAAATAAATATAAATATCTTCAGTTTTTTTAATAAATTTTAAACCAAAAATAAATTAAACTTATAGTATAGAGTTATTTGTCAAATATAATATTTTTAAAAGATCCTAATGAATATCCTTGGGGGCTGCTTGGTAGTACTTAAATAGAATTTACGCATAATTTAAGCTAAAGTCTAACAAAAATATAAAAAACACTATTTTAAAGCCCATAGATTGTATATCTCATTTCTTCTCCACTTTTTTTCTTGAATATTGGTTTTCTTAAAATCATGATTTATCAAATTTAATGAATCTTGGAATTGGTCAATATTAAAAGAACCCTTTAGGCAAGTGTTATAAACTCTTGTACTTGATTGTTGTCAGTCCTGTCGATACCTTCTCTAGTGGTAAAACTTCAAGCTTCTTTGTCGGGAGGTTTTGGAGAATTTGAGGGATGAGGATTTGGGAGAGATTTAGGGTTATTAATTTTAAATTTTAAGTTAATCTTAGTAATTATTGTTATTTTAAACAAATTAGTTGTATTTATGATTTAAATTTATTAATTTGAATTAAATATGTTTAATTAGTTTTATAAAATACTCATTAATGATTGGTTATGATATTAATTTTTTATACCTATAATTTAATTAATAAATTAGAATTAATTAAAATTTTTTCTATCCAATAATCTGTGTTAATTAAATAATTAAATTAGTCTTACTAATTAGTATTAGCTAATTAACAATTAACTTAATGATATTAATTTTTACTAATTAACTAGTAGTTGAGATATTTAACTAGGGTAATTATACCTTAATTAGTCTCAATGTAAATATAATAAGATAAATCCTCAGAATATTGTCAAACAATTTTCAAGAATTAAGTTTTGTTTGGAACAAATTTTTTGTTATTTCTTAAAGCAGTTTTTTAGTTAAAAAAGAAAAAATTTTGTACTAAAAAGTTGCTTTGCGAAGCAATAAGAAAACCATCCCAAACGAAACCTTAACTTACTTAGGTTTGTGAAATCTATATTTATAGGGTTTACTTGAGTTAAATCTTACTTGTGACCAAATAACAATAGGTAAACAACTCTGCTCCAACCTCCATCCTTTGTGAGGGGTTTCTGGTCGTTGGATTTATCCCACATTTATGAGGGATTTATCATAAATCTTGTCAAATGGTCATTTGTGATATAATTTTATTAAATGGTTTTTTGTGTTTGAATTGTTTAATAATTTATTAATTAATAATGATTTGGGATATTAATGTATTTTAAGTCTGATTTAATTAATCTAATTAGAGTTGCAAAACAATAATAAATTATAACTAAGAGTATTTAATGAAGTAAGTTCGGTACAAATGCATTAATTTAAAAGTAAATTCATCTAAATAATTAGTATTAATTAATTAAAAAATATTAACTTTAAGTAAATTGAATTTATTTTAAGTTATTTAGACTATATAGAAACCAATATTTTAAATAATTATTAATTGGAATGCTATCTTACATTAATTATGATTGTTGCGTCAAGAAATGATGCAATAGTCTTATATGTTCTGTTCTGGTCCCATCTACCTTGTGTGGATGTGGGAGGAATTTTGGCCCCACTTGTTGAATGCAGATATGGGAGGTTGTTCTGTTATGTTCTGGCCACACTTGTTGTACATGAGTATGCGAGGTTAAAAAAAGAATTATAAGTGCAGAGGAGTTATGAGCAAACATTAGGACATGTACATTATACATGCATTTGCATATTTTAGAAATATTATGAATTAGGTACAAATGATATTCCAAACATGCTTTGATAACTGTGAAACTGTTTTTCTTATTATGATAAATCAAGAAGTTTTAGGTGAAAGTTATATTCTGATAGGTAATAAGACATCTTTGACATCTCTTTGAAGTTCATCTTTGAAAGTACTAGTAATATCTTTGAAATCAAAGGACATTATGATAATCCTATGATAGTACCTATGTGAGTACCACATAAGTAAATGTTATGTGTAAAATTAGATAAATTTTCATTGATTCGCTCTTTATATTTTAATGAATATTAATATCTATTATGGGAATGTGGACAAAGTCTACTACTAAGCTAGTGGTGCTCAATGATGCTTCAGGAAAAGAATGATAGGTTTGACGAGATCCAGTTTTAAGGTATTTTAGTAATTCATGTTTTATTTTGATGTGTAATCATTAAATGAATTGGATTACAGTATATATGATTTTGAGAAATGAAATTTGATGATATTCCAGTTCATTTCTATTATTTTGAATTGCTTAGCCGGCTCTAGTTTTTTTTATATATAGAGGTTGAGAAATTCTTAGATCAAGAATTCAATTCTTTCATTAGATTCTGTCATATATTTTGTTTCTGCTCTTATGAAAATGAAATTATACTTATTGTGAGTTCTTAGATTATTTAAGGTTCTAGCGATGATGAGGACAGAGCTTACCTTCTTTTTCTGGTGTCGTGTTTGATAATTTCTAGAATCTGAATGAGCTTTGCTTTTCTTTTTGATGATGATACATTTGAATATCAAAGTAGCTAAAAAATATGTTGATATATATTGATACATCATCAAAAAATTAGCTTGATCGGGCACGAATCTCGAGGCAAAAATTAGTTGAAAACTTCAAAATTTAATTTTGGGAGCACCCGAACTCCGATTTCAGCGAGCTTATAGTCAAACTGAGCGTCTCCGAAATACGAACCCGACGACACCAAGATCAACTCAATCCGAACCCAAATGAGTCCAAATCAAGGGCTCAAAGTGCTGTCGGAAGGTTCAAACCGCAATTTGAGTTACCAAACGGTCTCCGATTTTGACGAGCTTATACTCGAATCGAACGGCTCGACGAAACAAATCCAACGAGTCCAAGATCGCCAAATTCTGACATCATTAAGGCCTCCAAATGTCCAACGAACGATGCACGATCAAAGGGTTCACTATCGGCCGTCCATTCAAACCACTCCCTATTCGCCCTTGATCTCACGCCTATTTACGAGCCATGCCACTCCAAAAAATCTATAAATAGAGCCCTCATTCTTCACAAGAGAGGATCGAAGAAAAAAATCAAAGCAAGAAGGGAGGGAAGCCTAAGGAAAAGAGAGAGAGATCGGAGATCACTCTTGCTTCCTCGACCACCGCCGGACCACCACCTGACGTCGTTGCTCCGCCGGACCACCACTTGAGGCCATCACCTCCGCCGGACCACCACCTGATGCCGTTGCTCCGCCGGACCACCACTTAAGGCCCTCACCTCCACTGGACAACCACCTGAGGCCCTCACCTCCGCCAGACCACCGCCTGACGTGGTTGCTCCGTCGGACCACCACTAGAGGCCCTCACCTTCGCTGGACCACCGCCTGACGCCGTTGTTCCACCAGACAATCACTTGAGGCCCTCACCTCCGCCGGACCACCGTCTTTCTGACCCTAGTCTCCTGCCGACTACGGTCCTCCCAACCTCCGTCGCCTACTACGGTCACTCTGACCTCCATCACAGGACAACGGTCTTTCTGACCCCAGTCTCTTGCCGACTACGGTCCTCCCGATCTCCGTCGTCTACTACGGTCACTCCGACCTCCGTCACAGGACAACGGTCTTTCAGACCCCGGTCTTCTGTCAACTATGGTCCTTTCGACCTACGTCGCCTACCACTGTCTGTCCGATCTCCATCAACAGACAACGATCTTTCTGACACCGGTCTCCTGCCGACTACGGTCCTTTCGACCTCCGTCACCTACTACGGTCATTCCGACCTCCATTAACAAGACAATGACCTTTCAGACCCCGGTCTCCTGCTTACTATGGTCCTTCTGACCTCTGTCTCTTGCCAAGAATGACCCTTGCAACCAAACAAATATGTCTATGTTTATTATTGTAACTCTCACAATGTAATATGTTATATATGACATACATTTGTAACATCAAGCTAAGGCCTTCTCCCTAAAAAGGGCCTCATTTGTAATCGACTGCAAATACTAGTGGATTCATTCAAACTGGGCCAGGCCCCGTGGTTTTTCCCCCTTTTCAGGGGTTTTCCACGTAAAAACTCTGGTGTCTCTTATGAACGCTACACCCTCTCACTTATCTGATTGTGTGATGGATCTTCGTACAATGCTAAGACGTTAAACTATATATTTCTCTACCGCCGCGAATAATCCAGAACGCAATAGTTTGGCGCCGTCTGTGGGAACCTGGTTCCCGACTCGGGGGCAATTTTTTGCTCCAACCTTAAAAGGACACTCATGTCAACTTCTTGACACCAGTCATTACTTCTTTAATTTTAGATCTGGACTGGGGGCAACTTTGACTCCAACTTTGATCAAGAAGATCCCTCCAATGCTTTCAATATCAATATGATACTTCAAGGAACTCCCGGCAAACGCAAGGATACTTCCGAAAGTCGTATACAGTCCCTTGCTGGACTTCTACTCCTTAGGCAATGTCTTAATCTCGACCCCAAAAAGGCAATAACGGTCTAAAGATAGACCATTATTTACCTTTGATTTGGAATACATGCGGCATTCGCCCCATCCCAAATCAAGACAAAATCGATCCCAGGGGGATCTGATTCGACCTCTTCCACACAGGTTAACGTCGTCGACCAAAGGCTCCGACATACAACCTCGGAAAGGTCTTACATCCT